GATGGTAAATCCCTACAAGACAGCACGCACCATGGAAATGCTGACACAGCCTTTTGTTCCCTCTTGGGAATTAAACTCCTCGTTTCAGTGTGGTTTTCTTTATTTCGAGCTGGGATCACAAGCCCAGGAACATGTCCCCCTTGTGATAGGAAACTAAATGCTGCCCCCTGTCAGGCCCCAGGCAGAAGTGTCCTCCCCTCGCTGTGATGATGCACATCCAGGCTTGGAAAACCAAGGAGACCTGGGAAAGAAAATCCTGCAAGATTTTTCCTGTTTCTTAGGAAAAGTAAGGAGGGGAAGTGGGAAGGTGAAGGAGGGAAGGGAGAGAAGGAGGAGGGAGGGAGAGAAAGGAGGGAAGGGAGACACTCGAGGGCATGCTATTAAAACATCCTCTGTGAGCAGCTGGAGACTGGGCCCTTGGAGGAATTCTGGAAGCAGCAGAGTAGAAGCTGAATAGAGTCTACTAGAAGCACAGCTGACTCCTGTGCCTGATGGAAACTGCAACAGGGATTCCCCAAGTATGCATTGCAGACAAGCATCCCAGAGAATGCAACTCAGAGCAGGTGCGAGCCCCTCAAGACAGGCAGGCAAGCAGGCAGGCAGACAGACACAGACACAGACACAGACACAGACACAGACACACACACACACACACACACACACACACACACACACACACACACACACACGGCACGGCCAGGCCCCTCCTCTGAGGACCTCTAACTGCCAGGTTCCACCCACAGAGCACTCTTAACTGCTCTAACTGCTGGACCCTGCCCCTACAGAGTTAAAAAAGCCCAACCTCTCTGGACGTGAAACCCCACCAAGCTCCACCCTGCAAAGCTTCCCAAGAAACCCTACATAAGCCCGGTATCCTGCTCAGTTTGCTGCTGTTTCTCGCCTGAGCAGAGGCGGCCACCCTCCTGGTTCTTCCCCTCCCAATAAATCTCTCGTGCGAGGTCTGTTGTGTGGTGCGACTTTGTGGTATTCCTAGGCTCCCAGCTGCCAGGACGCCTTTCCATCCGAGCTGCAAAGCTTACATTTGGTCCCAAGACTCCTTTGGTGACTGTGCGCCCCCTTGTGGTCTAAGCCACACCGGGACCCTATCTCCGTATCTCCAGCCCACGCGCAACGTATTCACCTTCGGGCACATCATCGATCACTCAGTATCCGGTCCACTGCGGGCAATTAGGTGAGTTCCCCTTTTGGTCGGTGTAGACATTTCCCTGAGTCTGAGGAAGTGACCATTTTTTTTTTGGTCCGGCACCCCTCTAGTACTCTTGGAAGTGGAGGTTACCCCAGCTTCAGTCTTTACGGCTCACAGCTGATCCGCTTCACCTGACCCCATGCCCCCATCCGTGGAGCTGCAATCGTGCAATTTCCTTAGGCCAAACTAGGCTACCGCGCCCCTTCCTCTTCTCCCACCTACCCCGCCCCTGGAGCTGCCCATAATCCCACAGCTCCCTTAGACCCGTGTGGCTTTGGAGACCCCATTCTCTGACTCTCTACTATGGATGAGACCCCTCCTCCTAGAGCTCCGTTTCCATTCTTACCTTCTTGCTCTGCGGAAGCCCTGGGACCAGGCACTGGTTCTCTCTGCTGGCTTAGCGGGGCTAAGTCCCTGATCCCCGTTAAGTGTGGTGATGACCCACTGACTTCATCCAGTTCTCCCTGAGTCCTGGGGATGCCCACGACTACAGGCTGCGGTGACGTCTTCCCTTCTCTCTCATCCACGGGAACAAGGAACGTGTCTTCCACGCCCTCTCTTTCCCCCTTGGGTGCCTCTTAGAAAACCTCCGTCCTCCCCACCTGGCACTTACCTGAAGGGAACTGAATTTATTTGCTTTTGCAATCAAATTTGGCTTTGATACCCCTTAGATACCCAATCTGAAGGGCCACCTAATGGCACCTTATACCCTAATGTTATTTGGGACATTTACAAATACCGGTAGTGATTCAGGAAAAGGAGATTCCCCTTTCCCTGTTTCTTGACTCCAAGCCCTGTTTGTTTTGTTGTCTACTCTCCCTCTCACGCATGCTGCGTAAATGTCCTGTTTTTAGGTTACCATAGATGGATCTGAAAGTCTGGGAGCTAGGGGTGAGACCTAGCAGGAGGGGGAAAAAGCAAAGGAGCAGGCCAGCAGCATGCACACACCCTGCACACACTCTTCCCTGGCTGATGCTTCTCGCAGCTCCCTGCCGCAGCATCCTTCATCCATAGCCGGGACTCAGAGATTTCCTATCTCTAAGCCTTGTTTGTTCAGTCTTGCAGGGATTCGGGTGCCTTTTAGGCGTGAGTGGCATTAGACTGCTGTTTTATGCTGTCCCACTTGAGTTAAAATCTGGCTCTAGAGTTAGGGTATGGCTCCCCCCCTCCTCCAGACCCAAGCATGCTTGTTTAAAAGGTTTCTTCTAAAAAATCTCTGTCCCATATCAGGAGAGCCATCTGCTGTGTGACAAAGGAGAGCAAAGCAAAGTAAAGGGACAGACTGTCCCCAAAGGGGACTGTGGCTACTCATCTCACACTCTTTTGGTTTTGGTTTAACTCTCTAAAACTTTATCTGAGGTGTAAACCTTACCCCAAGATCTGTAAGACTGCTGTGTAAACTTCCTGCACCTCAAAATTTGTAAACATACTGGTTATGATCAAAGCCCTGTAAAATCTGCAACGAAGGGGTTCATTTAAAAACTCATGACACCGGGATTGGTGGCTAAAAATCTATACATAGGTAATCTTAAAGGAAACGTGTGGCTTGCTGCCACCTGGGCCGCTATCCCCACACTGGGATGGAGGTAGCCACGTGGCTGACAGCCATCTTTGCTGGGGTTGGTAAGGATGGACTTTGCCATATGACAGATATCACTCCCATCTCAATGAGTAACCAAATGCCATAAGCCATCCGAGGAAAAACAGCTCCTCCTAGCTGTGAGACCCAAACCAGCTGATCACACTCACAAGCCTCAGCCCAGTATTGCTTCTCTTCATCTCGAGCCTCTCTGGTTTCCCTTCCTCCCTTCTCAGGGGCAAGCTGCCCACCCATCAAGGCTGAGGCAATCCAAGACCCTGAATAACATTACAATACCCCGGGGTGGGGGGCATCCTTGCTAGGAATTAGTTTGTAACTTGCCCCATGGTTAGCCACCCTTAAAGAGGTAAATTATGAGACTATCCAAGAGGTCAGACATGATAACCCATCTCAATTCCTAGACCGCCACACGGAGGCCCTCTTAGAATACAGCAATCTGGACCCCGAGACTCCAGATTGAAATCAACTCCTTATGACCTACTTTTTTTTTCTTTTCTTTTCTTTTTTTTTTTTTTTTTTGTTTTTCAAGACAGGGTTTCTCTGTAGCTTTGGAGGCTGTCCTGGAACTCACTCTGTAGACCAAGCTGGCCTCAAACTCACAGAGATCCACCTGCCTCTGCCTCCTGAGTGCTGGGCTTAAAGGCGTGTGCCACCAATGCCCGGCTCTTATGACCTACTTCTTCTCCCAGAATTTCCCTGACATTAGGGCCAAGCTTAAATGCCTAGAGAAAGGACCCCTGACTCCTCAGGCAGAAGTCTTAGCAACGGCCTTTAAGGAACACCATGGGAGAGATGAAAAAGCCCCAAAACAAAAATACCCAGTGATGGCGAAGGCCTTTTGACTGGCCATAGCAACTGCTCAGGCCACCCGGCCTCCCAAAGCCTGAGAATCTCCAGGGCCCTGTTTCAAATGTATTCAGGAGGGTCACTGGGCCCAGAACTGACGGATTCCTTATATACCACCAAGACTATGTCCAAGATGCTGTCAAGAAGGGCATCGGGGTGTTGACTCCCCCCCATGTCCCCTGCAGCATGAGAACGTCAAATCCAGATGGCCTTTCAGCCACCCTCCTGGTTCTTCCCCTCCCAATAAATCTTTCACTTGAGGTCTGTTGTCCGGTGTAACTTTGTTGAGGTATTCCTTGGCTCCCAGATGCCAGGACACCTTTCCACCCAAGCTGCAATGCTTACCCAGGGGTTCAGAGGTCAGGGGAGCCTGGGAATATCTCCTAAGGACCAGAAGACGGCAACAGAAGAGCTCCGAGAAGCAGGGCAGAAGGAACCCAGCTGGCTCTGCTAAACTCATCCCTGAGCCACTTTAAGTGAAGCGCCCAGCATCCTGTGACCAGGCGTGGAAGATGCCTTTTCCGGGTGTTGGTCCTTTCCTGATTTCCCCTAGTGAACCTTCAGATGCTATTACTTGTGGTATGAAAGCATACATGTTTGCTGTAGAAGAATCAGAAAACTGCTGTCCTAGTTTGCTTTCTGTTGCTGTTATAAAACATTGACCAAGCCGGACGTTGGTGGCACACGCCTTTAATCCCAACACTTGGGAGGCAGAGGCAGGTGGATCTCTGTGAGTTCGAGGCCAGCCTGGTCTACAGAGCCTCCAAAACAATACAGAGAAACCCTGTCTTGAAAAAAAAATAATTGACCAAAATCAACTCGAGGAAGAAAGGAAACATTTGTATCCCATCTTACAATTCAACAGTATATCATTGAAGGAAGCCAGGCTTAAGGCAGGATCCCGATCCTGGATACAGGAAAGGAAGCAGAGATGGTTGGAGAGTGCTGCTTGCTGACTTTCTCCATAAAAACGTTCTTTAAGCTCTGAGCAACCAGTGGCCTTTCCAAAAATCTCTGAAACCCCTCCAGCACGGCCAGCGTTACAGCAGTAGCCCACTCTGACAGCAATCTCTGCCCTGGTTTGCTTTTTGTTGCTGTGACAAAATGCTGACGGAAACACACTTGTGTGTGGTGATGTCTTGCTTCTACAAATAAAGCCTGTCTGAGGGTCGGAGTCAGAGAACAGAGCTTGCCACTAGCTAACCACAGAGGTCTGGAGGTCTGTACGGAGGCACAGGAAGTGAGGTAGCCGGGCGGAAACAGGATATAAGCAGGGAGAAACCGGAAACTGCTTAGCTGAGACGCTAAGGAGGTAAGGTGTGGTCGTGGCTTGCTCCTTCTCCTCTCTGATCTCTCAGCGTTTCCCTCTATATCCGACTCCGGGTTTTTATTATCTAGACCAATTAAGGAATCCATTTACAAACTCGGGAGAAGAAAGGGTTTATCTTACTTACAGGTTATATCTAGTCCACCATCAAAGGAAACCAGGGAAGAAACTGAAGCGGAGGCCATGGAGAAATGCTACTTGCTGGCTTGCTCAGGCCCATCTGCACAGGCATGGCACCGCCCACCGTGAGCTGCACCGCCCACCCCAGCTAGTAATCAAGGAACTGCCCCACAGAGGAGCCGAGCCGAAGGCAGCTTGCCTTTGATGGAGGCAGCTCCTCATCAGAGGTCCCCTCTCTCCAGGTCTCTCTGCTTTGTGTCAAGTTGTCTAAAACCAAACAGTGCAACCTCAAATAAGCAGAAAAGGACCAAGAGGCCCAGAGGCACAATTTCTGTGGGCACTTTGGCCCTGCGTGTGCCATCCCTTGTAAAGACTTCGTGATGAGCTTCAGCCTGTGTCTCCTGAACTGTGCTCTGTCCAGTGGCTCCTGATTCTAAGCAGCAGGCTTTATAAAATAAAACACACATTTTTATCTCACAAAGGCCAAAGATTCTTCAATTTTTTTCCCCAAAGCTCCTCTGATATCCGTTGGATCTTTACAGGGAATGGCAGGCCATGAAAATAGGTGAGTTGGTGAAGGGGGGGAATTAAACTTGGAAAATACTTGCTATATTAGAGATATGAGAATTAAATAAACCCCAGAGTCAGTGAGCTTTGCTTTGAAGAAGATGAGCCTAGAAGCAGCTTTAATATTCCTTTGGGCTTTGGTGAAGCAAAAGCTCAAAGGTAAAGGTTTTTTTTTTTTTGGTTTTGTTTTGTTTTATGAGACAGGGTTTCTCTGTATTGTTTTGGAGGCTGTCGGTCCAGCCTGGCCTCGAACTCACAGAGATCTGCCTGCCTCTGCCTCCCAAGTGCTGGGATTAAAGGCGTGCGCCACCAACACCCGGCTAAGGTTTTTTTTTTTTTTGTTTGTTTGTTTGCTTTTGAGACAGGTTCTGTCTATGCAGTTCCAGGCTGGATCGGACTCATGATCTCGGCCTCCACCTCCTGAGTACTGGGATTATAGTTGTATGCTGTCATAGCCAGCAAATATTTTTAAAGCAAGCCCTCCCCCGTCTTGTAAAGCTAAACACATCCAGGACCCAAGCTGAGTAGAGGACTCTGTGTCTGTGGGAGCTTTAACTCGTGTGTGTTGGAGCTTTGACTAAGAGGTGATCACTTGGCTTTCTCAGGAGTTGTGCTATCAAGAGCAGCCAGCCATGTTGAGGGCTCACAGTAGCTCTAGGAAGTGGGGGTTCATCATTCTCGTTGACCTTGGAGCTCCCAGAGAAGGAGATGCCATTATTTTCAGCCCTGTGATCACAAAAGGACATGGCTTCCTTTGAAGCTTTTTCCTAGATGTGTCTTTAGTTTTGTTTGTTTTTCAGGTATGGATTCAGAAACCGTCTGTGAGGAACCCAAGAGCACAACGTTACCCCACAGTGCCTGCCTCACAAACTTTCAGCCTTGGAGATTTCAAGTGAGAGAAGATAAAAAGTTCCCTGCCTCAAGTTGGACATCTGAAGTCCTGTGCTGCCTGAAGGGGATAGAGACAGACACATAACCTACATCTTCAAGACGATGGCTTGTCCAAAGGCTGAGGACAACTCCAGTTCAGGGGTTAGAAGGCCCATCGGGTCCATCACAGCTCTGTGCAGAGTCCCCTAGAGTGCTCAGGCGTCTTACTACTGGCTCCTTTGACTCCCACAGCAAGAAACAGACAGTCCTCTGGGTCCCCAACAGTGGGACCTAAGCTGATGCCACAGGCTCCATCTGCAGCTACTATTTATTTATTGTCCTATTATCAATAAAAACTTGGGAGTCGGGTATTGGGGTAGAAACCCAATAGATCAAGAAAGCGACAGAAGAACGACCAACCTACCCCCTCTCTCCATGCCTCCCTGATCAAAGGGGCCCTTGGATCTTTCTAAGCCCCTCCCTACTCTTTCCTGTGCTTCTCTATCCTATCCTGGGTCCTCCAAGATCTCTATGGCTAATTTAAGTCAGCTAGTCATTGACTCCACCCCCCCCCCATTCAAGGTCAACTTTATTAACAGTCTCCGGAGTGTCACGGTGTGATCAAATATCCCCGCCACATCCATCTTCGCCACGCAGCCCCCAAGGCTGCGCTGAGCATTGTGCTTGAACTAACAGAACAGAGATGGGGTCACACAAGGAAGGCAATTATTCAAAATGCTGCCCTATGTCGTTGGCTGGAAGTCAGTCACATGACTCTCTCTCTCTCTCTCTCTCTCTCTCTCTCTCTCTCTCTCTCTCTCTCTTTCTCTCTCTCCCTCTCTCTCTCTCTGGAAGGAGGTCTGGAAATGCGGCCTGGCTGTGTACACAGGAATGAGAGAGCAGAAAGCCGGGTGGATGAGAGTCAACTTTGCCTTGCTCCCGGACTTCACAGCTGTTGTCTTGGAGACCTGAAGATGCCCATCAGTAGTCCCCCCTTGCCTCACCCTGCCTTCCTGCCCATCTCCCTGTCTGCCGGCACCGCTGCTCTGCCCTTCACACTACATACAGCTTACGGCCTTTCCATGGGTGTCTGCTACCTCAACCCAGAAGAACAGTATGTACTTACTCGTACTTCAAAACTGTGCCTGTGGAGTTGGGCCTGTGGGTCAGACAGACCTGTAATAGTAATTACTCAGGAGGCTGAGCAGAAGCTCAAGCCTGTCTGGGCAGCAGAGTGAAGTCAAGCCTAGTTCCAGTAAATTAGTAAGCCCCTGCCTCAAAATAGTATTTATGAAGGGGACTGTGTGGTTCAGTGCTTGCCTGGCCCCAGGCATCATCCCCAACACTGAAAAGAAAACACAAAAAAGAAAACTCCACTCTTGGGGACTTTTACAACCCAGTAGGTAAAACCCGAACAGCCCAAATCAGCATTTAGACACGGGAAGCTCCCTTCCTCCCCTTCACTCCCAACTCCGGCCACGCTGTGGGACCACAGCTGCCACAGTTACTACCCTGTCCAGGAGAGGGCATAGTCGCACTTGATTCAGTGTCCATGTCTTGGGGAAGAGAGGCAGAAATGGGGTCTGCTTCCGTCTTTGGGCACACGGCGTGAAGATGTTGGGAACTTGGAGATAGAGGGCAGCCTGCCTGGCTGAGCCCATGGCTGAGAGCAGGGTCACAGCTCCCACCGAGACTGGGTGGGCTGTCAGCTGTGTTGGGATTTATTTGGTCACTAAAGTGTGTAGACCCGAGCGGCCTGACTTTCCCCTGGGGCTTTTATCCTGTGTCCCTCTCCCTCAGTGCCCTGAACCTGGAAATATCAAAGACTGGAAGTGTGCCCGAGGTACCAGGAAGCAGGTCCCCGCATTGACCTGTTGATATGTTTATTATATTATATATATGTTTATTTATATTATATTACATTATATTATAGTGCCATCCTCATGCAAGTATGCAAAGTATAGTGAGCACACTCTGTCCCTGTACCCACTTCTCTCCCCTCCCGATCCGCCCACCCCTGTCCCCTTTTTTGTCCCCTAGGCCTAGATAGCTTTGTTTCCACTTCTGTCTAATCTGTATGTATGGTTTTATGTATCTATATAACATCTAGAACCCACAGAAAACAAGCCACACTTGCCTTTCTGAGTCTCACTCAATTTGCTTAGTGTGGTTATGTGCAGTTGCAATTAGTTTCCTGTTAATCCTGTTAATCGGGACTCGAATGCATGCGTTTGGGAGGATAGACAGCTGCGGGGGGGGGGGGCGACGACGACAAGTTTCTGTAATGCCCACAGGTGAACACAAGGGGGCACTCTCAGAAGCTGCCCGGCCATCCCAGGCTGCCCCCGGCTGTGAAACAGGACTCCCAAGTCCACTAACACTATTTAAGACACAGAGTAATTCCTTTCCCTTCCTGGGCCTCAGTTCCTTAAGTTGAAAGACGCAATCGTCCTTGAAAGCTCGGACTCAAATCGGTTGGATAATTAGACTCAGCGGGGCTAGGAAGAAGGAGGCTCTTGCCGAGGTGCAGTTCCGCGGTGTGCCAGCAGAGGGAAGCAGGCAAGTAACCAGCAGGTGCCGCCAGCATCCTGGCCGAGGATGGATTTCCCCCCCCCCAGGAATGAGCAACTGTAGGGCTGTGGCCACCACAGTTGCTCTAGCTGCCTCCTCTTGTCATAGCGTGGGCGGAGACATCCCACGCCCCACTTCGACTGACGCCCAGCGGCCCCGCCCCCTTGTCTTCTGCAACCCTGCCTGGATTTCAGCCCCTGTCCCTTGCAGCTGAGGACCACAGAACCCTCTGAGTGCCACCACCCCGGTGCCTTCTCCGCGTTTATCCTCATCCCTGTGTCTCCCCAGCCCAACACTTCATAATCCTTTTCAGCCTTGCTTCCTTCGCCCTCGTCCCTACCCTCGGTGCACCCCCCTCGGGTAAGGGATGATTGCGCCCCTCTAACAAAGAGCAGCCGGCTGCCATCGCGGCTTCCAGGGAGGGTGGACCTGCCCTCGGCCGTCTGTCTACACGCCACGCCTCAGTTCTAGAGGCTCGACGGCCTTTCTCCACAAGCCCACCGCACGCCGCATCCCTCCACACCTCTTCTCTGGCGTTTCCTACGCAGTCTGCCGGGAACGAGGTGCTAAACGCAGAGTGCCCTTGCATCACCTCCTTCCGGTCCCACCCTCTGGCTCTGCAAGCTGTGCCTGCCCTGGGTGGTACCCGGGCCTGCTGCCTTGCGGTAACTCGCTTGAGAGCTCAGTTCTGTGGGCCTTGTCTCTTTAGCCGCCCTCCCAGTCCATCCCTCTGCCCGACACGGCGCTTGTGGCCTAATCCGGTTAAATTAACGGTGTCCGTTTAGGGGATTTAAGCAAGAGGGGCCCCTGTGTTAAGGGTTTTCAGACGTCACCTAGTGCAGACCGGAAATTGTAGCATCAGAAGTGAGAACGGGATAGAAGGGCCTCGCTGCCTTGCCTAGCTGTGTGTTTGGAGGGAACGATCTTCATCCGTTGTCCCCAAGTCACTCAGCCGAAAGAAACTCTGGCTGCTTTGGGTGGTCCCTGGGCTTTGGGCTGCCTGTGGACCAGATCTTTCGTGCATGCCCCTTCCCAAGCTGTTATGTTGAAGGGAAGACAATTGCCAAAGATGAAGGGTAATGATGAGCAGGAAGAATGGGCAGAAGGCAGCCGAGTCCACCAGAGTATGGTGCACATCCCATAAGCCCTGGCCCACCCGGGATCCCCGCTGGCCATGCTGGCCCACCTGGGATCTGCCCCACCCACCCGGGATCCACGCTGGCTGCCCCGGCCCACCCGGGATTCACACTGGCCATACTGGCCCACCCGGGATCCACGCTGGCTGCCCCGGCCCACCCGGGATTCATACTGGCCATACTGGCCCACCCGGGATCTGCTTGGCTCACCTGGGATCCGTGCTGGCCATGTTGCCCCACCCGGGATCCGTGCTGGCCTACCCGGGATCCTCCCTGTTCCACCCGGGATCTGCACTGGTCATGCTGGCCCACCAGGGATCCCCGCTGGTCGCCCTGGGCTGTTGTGCAGCACGGCTTATTGGCTTTACCCCTGCTGGACTGCGAGTGCCTGAGGTTGAGGAAGCTGTTCTCTCACCACACAGCTCGGCCCTCCAGGGTTTTTTAATTTATTATTATTGTGCATGTGTGAATGTGTAACGGGGGATGCCACGATGTTTGTGATGGTCACAGGGCAACTTTGTGGAGACAGTCCTCTCTTCACACCTTTTACGTGGTGCCAAGGATCCGGCTCAGCTCATCAGGCTGTCTGTCACGGCAAGCGCCTTTACTGAGCCCTCACCGACTCTAGCCAAGAGTCTTGATCTGGTATTTGTGGCTATAATAGGATACCCGAAGCCGACAATTTATGAAAAAGAGAGGCTTCACAGATTCACAATCGGCAAGCTGGAGTGCTAAACATCCAAGTATTGTGTGCAGGCTCTGACGAGGGCCTTCCTAGGCTCCATCACCTCACAGAACCGCACAGTAGGTTCCTGTGTAAGAGTATCTGTCTCAGTGCAGAGACAAAGGTGGTAAGGTCCCTCCCAGGACACACAGCCGTGACCTAGGAATTCCAGATCTTCCTCAGACAGGTCCCACCTTCCAACACTGTCACACGGAGGACCAGGCTTCCAACACACAAGGCTTTGGGGGCACTCACAACCTATGCCCAAACCATAGCAGGAGGACTCAGGACCAACACCCACGGAAAGGGGAGCTCACATGCAGGAAATGGGCTGGAGGGGTTGTGCTGAGCTGTGGGGCCGCACCAACACACCCTGGGCTCTGCCTCTGCTCTGAGCTAAGGCAGTTTTCTTGAGATACAATGTTTCCTCTCCTCAGAACGGCAGGCTGGGGATGACACACCTCTCGTTGGCTGACATAATGCACTCCATCCGGTTTCAGCCACACCTTTGCTGCTATGTGACCGGGGGCGCCATATACATCTGATGATTGCTTAAATTAAATTCCACTGAGGGAAGGATCCCGTCGCTTATTTCAAAGTCAAAAGTGGTTTGCGTTAGCTGGCAAGCTTGCTTCGAAGTATGTGTACAGCCCCCCCCACTCCCCCCCCCCCCCGTGTCCTTCAGGACAAGGAGCTGGCAGGTGCCTGGGGGATGAGATGTGTCTGTGAGCCTCTGCTGCCTGCTCCCAACAGACAGCAGAGGGCCTGACTCCAAGGGGGTGATTTCTTGAATACAAATGTATTACCCCACTGAATAACCGAAACAGCTCTTTATGAGATGCCGGCTTGTTCTTGGTGGCCCTTGAAAACGCCCAGTAGGACAGCCTGCCCCTTGCAAAGGTCTCTGCTTCCAGGAGCTCAGAGGCCAGGAGCCTTTGTGGAGCAACCTTGTCAGGCCCCCCGTGGAGTAGAAAACTGTGTGACGAACTGTCACTCCAGAAGGGACGCTCCCCTTGACGCCGCCCTTGTCCATGACATCACCTGCACAACTGCCTGGGTGACAGGGCGCTCGTTGCTCACGGCCTCTGCCCGAGGCCACCAGCGACACACACACTACTTATTATCATTACCCGCTATTACCTTCCTTCCTCGGCTGTAACGGCGGCTGTGCTGTGGGGCGTTCGGGCCACGTCAGGAAGGGCGGCATTTGAAAACCCCAACAGCTTTAAATGAGCACAAAGCTTAGGGAGTCCAATGCATAATTTCATCGTTGTCTTTCATGTGGGGTTTTCTGGGTCATGGATTCGTTTTTGCAAGTCACTCATCGTTACCCTGCAAGCTGCTCTAGGTTGCAGGAAACACGGACAGCTGACACCTGGGAAGGGGCGGGCTAAGGGAGGGCAGGCGGGTTGTCTTCCTCTGCCTACCCTCTCCATACTGAGTGAAGGTGTGGGTGGGGATACACAAAAATAACCTCAGAGAGATCGGAGGGGACAGATGACCTCAGTGCAGAGCCTTCCTACATTTCTAATGTGTCAGCAAGCCGGACATGCCCACCCGCAGTGCCTTCTCTGTCCCCATTTCCCTTCCCTCCCTCCGCAGCAGGACTCCGAGGCCGAGCACAAGCCCAGGCAGGTTGGATCGCAGCAGGCTGAAGCTAGGGACTGTTCCGGTCCTGCCTGTGAACTGCTCATCTAGTTGGTTAGAATTCAGGTGCCTCTGCTGCTTCTGAGGCGTGCTCTGAACATGTGTTAACAGACACACTCAGACACACCCTCCTTAGGGCTCCTGTGCCCTGCTGGCTGTGGTTGCAATCTTTTGTAATGAGTCATCTTGAGATGCCAAGGTCCTCTTGGGTCTCTCTGCAGGGAATTTGATTTAAATGCATCAGGGAATGGGAAGACAGCTGAGCTGAGGAAGTTCTTGCCTTGCAAGCATGGAGATCCGAGTTCAATTCCCAGGACCCATGTTAAAAACGTTAAAAGAAAAACAGATGGACATGGCGGCACAGGGAGATAGTTCTAGCGCTCGGGAGGCAGAGACAGCTGGATCTCTGGGGTTGCTGCCTCGTCAGCCTAGACTAATTAGTGAGTTCCGGGCCACCAAAGCAAAGCGTCATTGCTTTATTTATTTATTTATTTATTTATTTATTTATTTATTTATTCGCACTAAGAATTGAACCCAGGACCTCAGACACGCTAGGGAACCACTGGCACAATCCGCCCCCGAGGCTTCTTAGACAGCGAGCCTCCATCCCACAGAGATCACATGACTGAATGTGGGTCAGGGGAAACTTGACCACAGTGAAAGTCACCTTACATTCAGCGATGAAAGCATAGCTCAAAACCAAACAAACGATGCATCTGAAACATCTCCGAAAGCCACGTTAGATTCCCGTGACCCCACAGCAGCCTGGGCTCTGAGCGTACCGAGTGTGCACATTGCAGAGCATGGCATCATGCCATTCGCCGGCGAGCTCTGTCTGAGACGCCCCGCCCAGATTTGACAAGGTATGCTTATGCAGCGCGGTGTTTTCACCATACACACAAATTTTTGTGCTCTATGTTATGGGAGGAAAAAAAAACTGTTAATGCTTTCCAGTCATGTTCCTCGGCATGCAAGTCCGGGATGTCCTGTGTAAGAGAAGCAAGCACGTCTGCCTCATTAGTGCTTTTATCTTTAGTAAATGGTAAAATTAT